ACTGTAACATGCTGTACAGGTTTGTAGCCTTGGAGCAGTAGGCCATACCATTCTAGGTTTGTGTGAGTACACTCTGATGTTTACACCATGAAGAAATTGCCTAACAACACATTTCTTAGACTGCATCACCATTGTTAAGTGATGCATGACTGTATTTGGATGGAAGCAAAGGAAGAGTTTTTTTTTTTTTTTTTTTTTTGGAGACAGAGTCTCTCGCTCTGTCACCCAGGCTGTAGTGCAGTGGCATGATCTCAGCTCACTGCAACTTAGGCCTCCTGGGTTCCAGCGATTCTCCTGCCTCTGCCTCCTGAGTAGCTGGGACTCTATAGGCACATGCCACCATGCCTGGCTTATTTTTTGTATTTTAGTAGAGATGGGGTTTCACCATGTTGCTCAGGCTGGCCTTGAACTCCTGAGCTCAGGCAATCCACCCGCCTTGGCCTCCCAAAGTGTTAGAGTTATAGGCATGAGCCACTGTCACTGGCCAAGGAAGAGGCTTTCTAATTCAAAGCCTAATATTAGCCATTCTGTTTTCTTGTGAAAAAATTTACTGGCTCTGGATTGTTACATTCCAGTGTGTGTTAGTAGTTTTAAAAATAAAAATGCTGTTTCTGTATTAGCTCCTTCTCTAAGGAAATGTAGAATATGCCGGAGATGGCAAAGTATAGATGTCATCCATATTCATATTAACATTAGATGAGATGTAAATGTTGCAAGTAAAAATTAGAGCGGGGAATAGTATCTAGAAAGAAAAGCAAGAGATTGAATATTCTAATAAGCTTGGAATTTTAAATAAATTAAAAAAGTAAAGTTTGCCTTAATTTGGGCCAGTAGTTAATTAGAGTGGATTTCAGCTTGGATTTCCTAAAAACAAAGCCTGAGATGAGGATTTAGAGCTGATGCTTAATTTGAGACGTACAATCTCTAGGCAGTGAGAATGGCAAGAAAGGAAAGTGATTCAAGGTGGATGAGAAGCAATACAAAGTGTTGTGTTTACCCTGCTGGGCTCATTTCACAGTGAGCTGACTGGGAAATAGTTGAGTACTCAGCAGGGACAGCTACTCTACCACCCAAAATATGTCTGGACAGGCAGTGTAAAGAAACTGCACCTCAACACAGCCTAGGAGGGAGGAAGGAGAGATATTTATCTACATGGCTTTCTGTCAGCTCTTGTTTCCCGTTGGTCAAAGTTTACCAGTGGGGATATAACCAACCCCACAATTCTGGTTATAACATTTCATTCATTCAGCAGCCACCTTGAAGCCAAATCTAATGCCCTGTAATACAACTTTTCAACCAAGTAAGAAATAGAAAATCCAGAATTCAGAGTATGCCTGTCCAGAGTACGCCTGTCTATGCTATGAACATCATGGAAGAAGAGTCCCTTCTTTGACAAACAAAAGTGAATGGACCCAAGGGGAGAGCAGTCAGCCATGGGGGTGGCGGCCTAGGTGGAGCATGCTGAGAGGGTCTGTGAGGTGGTGGCACCACAAGAATCTGAGGAGTTGCAGAAGATGTTTCTGATAAGATGAATTAGATTTCAGCAATATGTTCTACCCTCTCAAGCCTTATGTTTCATACTGGGCTCCTAACCTCAGCCAATATTTCCCTTCCCTGAAAACTCAGTGCAGTGATGCAATCTCAGGTCATGTCAACTCCACCTCCTGGGCTCAAGTGATTCTCCTGCCTCAACCTCCCTGGTAGCCAGGATTACAGGTGCACACCACCATGCCTGGCTAATTTTTGTATTTTTAGTAGAGATGGGTTTTTGCCATGTTTGCCAGGTTGGTCTCAATTCCTGACCTCAAGTGATCCACCTGCCTCAACCACCCAAAGCACTGGGATTATAGGCTTAAGCCACCATGCCTGGCAGACTAATATATATTTAGTTTTAGCAATAGAATTCTTGAATTTTTAAAAATGTTTTTAAGAAAAGATCTCTTCATGGCTTTGTCTATTTTATATTCAAGTATTGTTAAATCTAATTAGTGAATTACATGTTTCAAAACTACTTTTCTGGGCCCTAGTTTGTTGTTTTCATCTTTTCACATACAGCTGCCAAGTGGACTGGTTTCCATTTCCCAAGCCTTTCCTCATTTCTGTCTGAACTTGTAAAAACTCTGTTTGGTTTCTGTGTCCTTCCTTTATGCCTAAAGGGACAGCAATACACCTGAGAGGAACAGGAACAGTAATGGTAGTTTCTATAGCCCAAAGAGTCCTTTTAGGAACTAAATTTATTTGTCCTCTCTTTTTATGGTACAAAGTATGACAATGTATATTTGATATTTCATGTTTATTATTTATAAGATGTGATTTATGCAAGTAGTCCATGTTCTTTGTAGAAAAAAATGGAAAATACAGATAAAAATTAAGATCACCCTACTTCCACACTTACATATAAGCCTGCTTTTTTTTTTTGGCAACTTCATGACTTTTATTTGTGGTGCCTGTTCTTTGTCTTGAAAATACCTTCTCTGCCCCAGACAGTGGCCGGGAAGGGGGCAGCAAAAAATAGAAAACGTCCTTCCCTATTACACATGGACCCTATATACAGGCCCACCTGCCTAAGGCCAGTGGGACTCTTGGGACATTCTTGGATCTCTGCTCAGGAAGGGAGGGGTAAAGGGTGACATCACACGTGAAATGGGGACCTCCAGGTCTTGAGTACTGATCTTTGATCTTCTTGGTCCTCAGTTCCTTCCTGGTCCCGTCTCCAGCCCTGGTCCCCTCTATGTAGCCTGCTTTTTGTATTTAATGATATTAAATCATTTTAAATTTTTGCATAGTATTCTGGTAGTTGGTGATTCCATAACTTATCCTATTTTCTACTATGAAACATGTAAGCTGTTCATAGTTTTTTGTTCAATATAAGTAAAAGTTCCTTAGAGAAACATTATGAGTCTAAATAAGTACCTAAATTCACTAAGTTTTTAGATGCGTCTGTTACCAGTAGAGGGTTATGACTGCAAGTTGTCCAGGTTCTTGGTGTTTTGAACATAGTTGGACAAAACGCCCAGCAAAGCAAAGAAAGAATGAAGCAACAAAAAAGAGTGAAGGCAGGGATTTATTGAAAGCGAAAGCACACTCCACAGTGTACGAGTGGGCCAAAGCAACAGGCTGAGGGACAGGATACAGAATCTTCTTCAGTCCAAATACCTGCTAGAAGTTTCCCATTGGCCACTTCATGCTCACCTCATGTAAATGAAGTGGTAGTCTGCAATCAGTCTGATTGGTTGCAAAAAGCAGCCAACCAGAGGCTGAAGGGAAGTTACAAAGGTCATGCACCTGTGCAAACATCTGATTGGATGCCAGAAGCAACCAATGACAGGCTAGGGTGAAATTACAAAGTTATACTTCTGTGCAAACAAAGACTTGGCCTGCAATGAGTCTGTTTGGTTGTGGACAGCAAAGTTTCCATCTGACATGCGGAAAAGGTGAGGGCTTTGCAAAGGCAGTAGCCTCTCTTTTGTTATTTAGGCATGGAAAGTTAGGGTTTTCCTTTCCATTTAGTTCTAGGAAGTCGTTGTGAATCAGCCTTAGGTTCCCTGCCTCCAGACGCTATTCTCCTGCCTTACTTCTTCCAGTTTGTTTCAAAGCAGTCTACCCATCACTTTTTTGTATTTCTCATGTTTACATTGCCCTCTACTACTGTGGATAGTCATGAGTGGACTAATCTGACCTGTGCTCCTCAAAGCATTGTCCAGATTGCTACCAGACCTCTGCAAGATAAGAAGGTTGTGTCTGAATATAAACCAAGGCATTGCTTAGTTCATTGAGAGATTTTGGCTACTCCCCCACCCCACCCAAAAGCTGAACTAAGCAGTATATTTTTAGTGACGATTTTCATTTCACTGCAGAATTCTTTTTTTTTTTTTTTT